CTTCACATCTTTGTCTGTGTCTCTATAAAACATACATTGCTGACCAGTTGCGGTGGTTCACACCTATAATCCCAGCACTTTGGGAGGCTGAAGTGGGCAAATCACCTGAGGTCGGGAGTTCAAGACCAGCCTGGGAAACATGGTGAAACCCCATCTCTACTAAAAATACAAAAATTAGCTGGGCATAGTTGCAGGCACCTGTAATCCCAGCTACTCAGAAGACTAAGGCAGGAGAATGGCTTGAACCCAGGACGGGGAGGTTACAGTGAGCTGAGATCATGCCATTGCACTCCCGCCTGGGCGCAGGAGCAAAACTCAGTCTCAAAAAAAATGTTGCCTTTCTGTGTGCAGGAATTTTTAGTTTATATGAATGATGTGGTGCAGATTTCACTCTGTTTCTTACCATCTTCAGGCAGCTCTGTTTTCAGGTCCACCCACATTGTTGACTGTACATCTAGTTGGTTCTGCATTCACCCCATTGTATTAAACTTATCCCATTCTTATTCCATTCCCCAGGCGAGGTGGGAGTGAGAGGAGCAAATTGAGAACATAATGGGCCTGTCCTTGAGACTCCATCCTAGGAGTGAGATACTAATACCCCCTTTCCAATCACACGCGTACATGTGTACATGCACATGAACACACACACACACACACAAAGTTCAGCTGGGGGCCCAGTGAAGGTAGGGGTGAGGGAAAGAAACTGGGAGTTTTATCAGAAAAGGATCTATCCTAGAGCTCTGATACTATTAAATTCAAGTCCTTGCCTTCTCCAGGAAGCCTCCCCTGACCACCCCGTTCTATGCAGGTCTCTCCCTCTTCTGGGGATGGCAAATCTCATTTAATCATACACTAGTCTAGTCTAGTCTTTCTGTTACTATCTCCTTGATCAGACCAAAATCCCATTAGAGGGAAAGACCATCTCTTGTTCTTTGTGTCTCTCTTGCTCAAGGCCTGTCCCAGAGGAAGTGAGAGCAGGGAGTGGGAAGTTGGATTTTGCTTCATTCAGGTTCTACTTCCTCTGTTTTAGGAACATGCCATCTTTCAGCAGACAATTATGTGTTAGGTTCATAGGAGTCCAGAGAGCAAACGCGCACTGTGCCAGCTCTTGGGGCGGTGGTGGGGGGTGGGGGGAGGGCCTTTCATGGGGGACGTGAACATCCAAACATAAAGCTGGAGAACAAGGTGGAGGGTACGCAGACCTGAGCACACACCTGGGATGCAGAGGAGGAACCGCCAGCTCGGCGCACAGGGAGGCCAGGGAGGGCTTCTAGCAGAGGTCACGGCCAAGCTGAACCTGAGAGAAAATAGTTAAGCTTGGAGCAAGGGTAATATGAATTAACATGGGGAGGACGTAAGAAATCTTGAGTGTGTTCCAGCCATTATGGCTCCGTAAAAAATTATCATAATATTGGCATAAAACAACGCTTAATTATGTTTGGTATCCAGTGAGGGTCAGGAATCCCGACAGGGCACAGCAGGAGGAGCTTGTCTCTGCTCTCTGTTGTCTGGGTCCTCTGCTGGAAGCATGGAAGGCTGGGATTTGGAATCATCTAAAGGCTCATTCACTCACAAATATAGTGGTTGAGCCTGGCTGCAGGTTGGAGGCCTCAGATCTCCTCCACATGTGTCTCTCCATGTGGGCCAGTTTGGGCATTTCCATAGCACAGTGTCTAGATTCCTACGATGCACATTCCAGAGAGAGAGAGCTAGGTGGGAGTTCTAGCTTTTATATGACTTAGAATCAAAAATCATTCCTCTTGCCATGGTCTATTGGTCAGAGTGGCCTCAAGCCCCGTCCCAAGTTGATGAGAGGAAACAGAGACCCCCATCCTCTCCATGGGAGGAGTGACAGTCACAGTGCAAGAGCATGTGGGTTGTGAGTCAGACTGTGGTGCAGTCATCTTTGGAAAACACAATCTCCACCGCCTGTGTTGATGGGGATGGAGGGGGTGGGGGGAACAACAATTAGATAGACCGGTGTCTACTACTGCTGGAGCACCAAGCAAAAGGTGAAGGCAGGCAGATATAAGGCAACAAGGATAGATCAGACCAGGTTCTGGAGGGTCTTAAAAAGCACGTGTAGGACAATGTTTATAGACAAAGGAGGACTTTGGAAGCCCCAGGAGTCCTGCTCCCTTATTCCCTCCACCCAACATCCCCTCTGTGTTTGATCAGAAAATACCCAAGGCCCCCCATGAGTAGCTGAAGCAGAGGAACTCTCAGGATTTAGGCTTTCACCTAGGTTGGCTCTTCGAATGTATAGTAAGGTTGTAGACAGCCAGAAAGCCAGGTCGGCGTACCAGGAGTTAGAGTCAATGGTTGCTAGCCTGCAGCTCCCTACCCCTGTTCCTGTGTTTGTATGCACACCACATGTACTTGGCCAAGCCCAGTCTCTCACCCTGAGTCCCATGGATGCTTGGGTGGCAGGTGGGGACTTTTCAGAAGTGCCCTGCCAGGTACACTCTGAGTGGTTCTAGGCAGAGCACAATCCATGCTTCATACACCCACGCTCAGGAGGTGCAGGCCAAAAGGGTAGCATGATACCAAGAAGAGGGCTCTAGTTTGGGGCAGGAGTCCTGTGTTCTCATCCTGCCTCTGCTCAACCAGCTGTGGGCCTCAGGGAGGACATTTTCTCTGCTGAACCTTGCAGCAAGGGCAAGAATTGGACTAGACAGGAGTTTTTCTCCAAGTGTACTCCTTGGAGCTCACACATTAAAATCACCCATCCAGAAAACTACAGTGAGATGCCACCTCACACTCACTAGAATGCTAAAATCATGAAGAATGACAATATCAGGTGCTGACAAAAAGGTAGAACAACTGGACCCCTCATATATTGCTGGTGGGGATGCAAAATCATGTAGCTACTTTAGAATAAGTAGTAAAGCTAAACACCTTCCCTATGACCCAGCAATTCCACTCCTAGATGTTTATCCAAAAGACACAAACACGTGTTCACACACACACACACACACACACACACAAAAGACTCATGAGAAATGATCACAGCAGCCTTATTCATAACAACCAAAAATTAGAAATAGTCCAGGTGTCTGTCCATCAACAGGTGAACGGATAAAAAGAAACCTGTTTACTCGAAAGAAACTATTAGTACACACAACATGAATAGATTTCAAAAAGTTGATTCCAAGATAGAACAGCCAGAAACAAAACAACTGTATACCCCATTTATCATGAAGTCCAAAAGCTGATGAAACTTTAGGAATGGCGCTAGAATCAGAGCTGTAATTGCCTAGGAGGATGAGCAGTGGGATGGAGAAACGGGAAGAGGACCTGATGGAATGTGGGTGACATCCCGGTTTACATTTGTCAAAAATGCATGGAACTGCACACTTAAGATCGTGTATTTCATTTCCCTGTTATATCTTATATTTTATTATATATTATTAAAAATAAGCCTGGGTAACAAGAGCGAAACTCCGTCTCAAAAAATAAAATAAAATATTTGGACGGGTAAAATGCAGCTTCCTGGGTGCCCCAGACTCACTGAGTCAGAGAGTCCTCTGCGGTGAGGCCCTGGAATCTGCATGCTGAACGGGCTCCAGCTTTGGAGAGAGCATTAGACTTGAGGCCCAGGTCCCCAGGGGCGATACCCACACACCGCTGCCCGCCCCCCACATCCCCCACTGCACACGATCCCACTCAGCCCTTGGCGCTTCCCCCTCTCCCCAAGCCCCCAGCCCTCTGCCCAGTCGCCCCTAGTAACCAAGAAAGGGCTTGAAAATCCTCAAAGTGCAGCCGCCCGGGGAGGGGCCGTCCACAGTGTCAGCGAGACAAGGGCACATACAAAATGCGGGGTAATTGCCGCTTCTCTAATTCTCGGCCCTTTGTGCGGCGGCGCGGAGCTGGCGGCCGCGCTCCCAAGCCCCGGCCTTTCAGCCGCCCAGGGGGGGCCCGGCGGCCGCGCTCCCCGCGCTCCGCCGCGCATAATTAATCGGGCTTCACAGGGCCCCGGGACAAAGGCGCCCATTCACCCCGCCGCTCCTCCCCCCGGGGATATTGTTATTTCTAAAAACTGCAGCCAGCTGGGCCGCAGAGAAACGTCAGCTCTGTGGGAGAATGAGCGCCCGGCCGCGCCGCGAGGAGACTGGGAGCTCTGTCTCTCGCTCCCCGCGCGGGATTAGACCGGCCTGGGAGCCGGGGTGGGCAGGGGGCCCGGGGTCTTTTCTGAAGTCTGCACGACTCCTCAGAAAGCCTCGTGATTTCCATGGGGCCCTGGAGGAGGGCGCCATGGAAATGGTAATGCGGGGCATTGAGGCTGGCTCATAGGGAAGGAGGGGGGCGCGTCCAGGCCGCCCGGGCTGTGGCACGGCTCCCGGGTGGGAGGGGCCGGTGGACGGCCCAGTGGCCAGGCCCGGATGCCCCCACCTGTACCAGGCCCTCTCGGACACCGGGGGAAAGGCATCCAGGAATAAAGGCCCGAGTCTGGGTCCGAGGGGCCTGCAGTTAAGTTAGGGGCGGGGAATGGGGTGCCTCCACAGTCACCCAGCTCTGCTCCAGGGACCACCAGGAGGGCTGGTTGAAAGCGATGCCCACACACGCCTGGGCCTCACCACTGAGGATCCAGGCTCCCAACTTCCCAGGCATCTGCATTTTCCTAAGCTCTCCAAGCACCTCTCAGCCCACCAACATTTGGTTACCACTCAGCACTGTCCCAGGGAGATGGCTGTGGGGCTTCACGTGCCATTTTACAGGCAGGAAATGGGCCCAAGGAGATAAAGGACTTGTCCAAGATCACAGAACAGAACTGGGACTGGCCCCATGGCATGCTGGTTGTGCACAACAGCAGAACAGAAGAAGGGAGAAGGTGCTAGAGAGGGGGGCTTCGGCCTCACTTCCTCCCCTAAGCATCCCCCCGCTGCTCTGATTGTCTGAGCTCTCCCTTCCTGGCATCTCCTTGCAGGACACAGGTCTGCCTGGTTAAATGCCTCCACCGTGTTCTGTTCTTCCTCGTGGGTTTGTTGGGGTTCTCCTACCTGCTCCATCAGAGGCACCGTTGAGTGCAGGCGTGGAGGCCCCACTGATTTTATGCCAGGGTTGGTGCCCAGCAGAGCTCCAGCCGGGGCTTACTGAATGGTAGCAGTATCTCCTGACTCCAGGGTCCAGGTCTTCTAGGCTGCATTTCTCTTCAAAGTCCAGTGTCCTGCCCAGGTCCAGGAGAGGCCCAGGTCCCAGGTTGGCAGTGCTGGGCTTCACCTTTGCCACTGAACCCAAGGAAACAGGCACCCGACTATTCGTCCTCCCAAAGCTGGGAGCAGTTGTAAAGAGCTGCCATGGACTTCCAAAACCTCAGCATCCTGAACGCCTCCCAGGACAAGCAGAGGCCTTTCCAAAACCCTGCCCCTCCCAGCCCATCTTACTGAGACATTCTGTCCCTCGGCTATACTCTGGAAAATGTTCCCTCAGCCTAAGACTGCCAGTCCCAAGCAGGACCACAGGCCTCAGAGCCAGACCACACCACAGGGCCTCGCTCCTCCAGGCAAGTCAGGGAGAGGAAGCTAAATGTATTTTCAGAGGAGCCCAGGGTGGCCTCCAAGGCCCACGGGGGGTGCCCAGCCGAGCGCATTTCTGCTGCTACCACGCCATGCAAGACACTGGAAAGCCAACATCACATGACATTCACATCTGTGGGTGGGAGAATATGCAGAAAACTCGAGAACAAAGTAGAGAGAAGGAGAGCACAGGGTTCAGCCAAGCCTCTGAGGAGACAGACCAGCTGTCTAGTAACAAGCAGACTCAAGCATAGCTGCTGAAGTCAACAGATTTTCCCAAGGGGACCCTGTGACCTAGGCAGCCCCCAACAGCCAGGCCACCAGCACGGCATCAAGCAGAAAGCCAATCCAGCTCTCTCTCCTATTAAATCAGCTTCACTTCAGATCTAAAATGACCCAATACTGTCTGAAAGTGAGATGACCAAGGCGGAGCTAAAAGGAAGCCAGACTGTGTAAAAGAATGTCCTTGAAATATAAACTGAAGTATTTAAGGGTAAAGGGGCAAGATGTCCCTAAATTTTTCTCAAATGATTTCATCAATGTAAATAATTGGTGAATCTGGGGAAAGGGTATAGAGGAGTTCCTTATATAGCCTTATAATCTTTCTGAAGTTTGAAATTTAAAGAACAAGTCAGTAGGCAGCAGACACACCGAAACATCACAGCGCTGATATTCTAATCCCACACCCAGGGAAGGGACTCGACTCTCCTGTGACCCTCCCCCTGTGACACACAGTCACACCCACGCTCAGAATGCATGGAACTGCACACTTAGATCTGTGCATTTCATTTCCCTGTTACACCTTACATTTTATATTATTCAAAATAAAATATTTGGACTGGTAAAATGCAGTCTAAAGATGCACGCGTCTTTCACTGTCTTCTGTCATAGCAATTTGCAAACCCAAGCCAGGCCCAGCATCTTTAAGGGGAAGGCCAGTGTTGTTTACCTCTGATTTCTACTGCAGCTAGCAATGTATTTTGTAAGTGGTAGGCATTTAACCAAACCTAGAATCCAGTCATGTGTCGTGGAAGGTTTCTAGCTCTGAGTGAGCTGGAAGGAAGAAGAGAAGCAGGTATGTAGCTGAAAGGAAGAAGAAACCAAGAAAGATGGCAGAGTCCACACGAAGTTTCTCTAGTCCAATACATTCATGTCAGAACTAATTTTGGGGTTCTTTTGGGGGGGGGGTTTTCTTAGACAGAGTCTTGCTCTGTTGCTCAGGCTGAAGTGCAAGGGCACAACCTTGGCTCACTGCAACCTCTGCCTCTTGGGTTCAAGCTATTATCCTGCCTCAGCTTTCCAAGTAACCGAGATTATAGGCACTCACCACCACATCCAGCTAATTTTTTATATTTTTAGTAGAGACGTGTTTTCACCGTATTGGCCAGGTTGGTCTTGAACTCCTGACGTCAAGTGACCCACCTGCCTTGACCCCCGAAGTGCTGGGATTACAATCGTGAGCCACCACGCCTGGCTAAGTGTTTTTTTTTTTCTTTTTTTCAAAGTTAGTTAATGGTCAGGCCCACCTACTGGTTACCAGAGTCAACAAAACATTGCCTCATTCTCTGAGTGTTTTGTGAATATGAATATTGTCTCTCCAGTGAGACCACAGGGGAAAGCGCCTTTTCTCTCCCTACCCTCCCATGGCCATCCTCATGGGCTTAATAGAGACACAGACCTGTAATGTGCCCTTAAGTGCCTCTACCAGACTCAAAGCTCCATGAGGGCAGGGCTCTGTCTTGTTTGCTCTCTTCCAGATTCCCAGCCCTTAGCACAGTGGTTGACACAGTGTTGGCGACTAGTATATACTGGTTAAATCACGGAGTGAATGAATGGGAGTTTTGTTGAGTTTAATTCAGCTGAGTTTAGTTGGGTTGGGTGGGCCAAGTGGGGTAGAGTTGGGTTGGGTTGGGCTGAGTTGAGTTGCCTTCTTCACTAGATACACTAAGCAGGCTCTTTGGGAGTCATGCTTCCGACCTCAGATGTTCAACTACAGTCAGAACCAATGGAAACCTCCCCTCTTTTCTTTAACTCTCACCTTCAACGCAGATCCTTCTGGCTGCTGGTTCTACCATCAAAGGTGGTGGAGCCGTCTCTATGGCCAGTGTAATATGATCAAAGTTAGGATAAGGTCCTCTTCTCATGGTCCTTTTGGGTGGGACTACTTCGGGAAGAGGAGCTTTGCTCAAGCATCTTTCTGGTGGGGGCAGGATCTTCTGCAGGAAAGCTCTGGATTGAAGGTATGGTACTACCACCCCCACCTCCACCACCCCATCACTCTATCCCCACATCCCCATAAGGACAAGGCTGGGGCATGGGGGGGCAGGATGGTCAGTAGAGAGCAGCACCCTGCAGGTGCCAGTGACTGAGGGAGAGCAGTCGGCCTGGAGGGAGCAGGGGAAGTGTGACCCACATGATTAGCAAGAGCTTCATGTTCCTCCCTATTGCTTGGGGCAGGGCACTTGTAATAGGAGCTCCCCATCACTAACAGGAACAGGAACCTGAGGCATGGGGATCTTCAATCAGGCCCTCTGAGGCCTTCCAGTCTCCAAGCCCTGGGCTAGGAGCCTTGTGTAGCAATCTTCCTGTTGCTACCATGGAGATCTGAGCCCCAACTCAGCCCTGGGAAGGGTTGGATGTATTCCTGGCCATAGGGATGGACATTTCACTCAGGTGGCCAGATGTTTATGTCCCTCTCAAATCCATGTGTTGAAATCCTCACCCCCAAAGTGATGGTGGTAGGAGGTGGGGCCTTTGGGAAGTGATTAGGTCCTGGGGTGGAGCCCTCATGAATAGGATTAGTGCCCTTATATTATACCCTGAGAGAGACCCCTCACCCCTTCTTCCATGTGAGGTTAGAGTAAGAAGGCACCGTTTATGAGGAGGTCACCTCACCAGACACTGAATCTGCTGTCACCTGATTTTGGACTTCCAGCCTCCAGAACCGTGAGAAGCAAATGTCTGCTGTTTATAAGTCATCCAGTCCATGATATTTTATTGGAGCATGAATGGACTCAGATATCAGAGGTATCTCCACATAGCTTGGGGGAAGGAAGAGTTCCTCCTCTCACATCCCATCCTGTGGGCTGGCCTGTGTTGAGAAAACCTCTCCCTTTCCAGCACCTCTCACCATCTCCCCGTTCCCCTTTAGAGGAAACCCCTTCCTGGGCCTTCAGGGCATGGCTGGGCATGCTCCCAGAATGCTTCATGTTTGCTTCCAACCTAAGAAGGGCCAGGCTTCCCAGCTGGGAGCTCTTTCTCCCTCCCGCCTTCCGCCTTTCTTCTCTGTCTGCCTCCCCTTCACTCTCCCCCATCTCCATCCCTTCAAACCCAAGAGTTTCCAAAGTGATAACATGTGGGCCCTAAATCAAACCCCTGTCCACAGGTCCTGCCTGTATCCCTCCTCCTCCCCCAGCTCCCCAGCCTGGCCAACCTCATCAGCCCCACCCCACCCCCACCCCCACCATTCCTCCTGTGGACAACTTTCTAAATGCAGCCACACTTCCCCTTTCAAGCCACAGGGCCTATAAAACAGCTGCAGACAGTCAGCAGCACTGCAAAAATCCTCTTGACAAGTTTAGCTGAGACCAACACCCTCTAACTCTAGCTATTGCTAGAAACCAATGGGAAACCAAAGCAGGCACTCCCGGACACTGGGGAAACAGGCTCCTTTTCGAGTAAACAGTGGGAGAGACATCATGTCCCCAAAATTCTAATCTAAAGAAGACTCGCTGAGGGGTCCAGCCAGCGGGAGGAGGCAGCCCAAAGCCTAGCCTGGCTTCCCACCCTGCAATCCTGCCAATGGCCTGTGGGACCCCAGGCTACTCCACTCCCTCCAGACACAGGCTTCTCTTTTGCAGGATGAGGGGATAGCTTGGTTGGTTTCCTGGCACTTTCTGAGTCTAAAACTCCACAAATCAGTCATTTCTCCTCAAGGTGCTCTTGCCCAGTGCCTGGAGAGGGAAGGGGCTTTGCCGAGGGACTTGCTGCCACCTGAGGGTTGTCCAGATGCAAACCCAGTCCCCCGGCTCTTTCTGCAACAATCTGTCCTCTGCAAAACAGTAGCTGTCAGTCCTGGTCACATATCAGAATGACCCAGGGAGATTTTACATCTCAATTCCCAGCCACTCTCCAGACCCATGAAATCTGAATCTCGGGTTGGGGCCTGGAAATCAGTCTGTCTGGAAAGTTACCCAGGTGATTTTGCTGAGCGGTTGGGGTTGAGAACCACTGTGGGGAAAGTTTCCAGGAAATAAAGATGAAGCTCTAAGCCAGAGTGATACATTTCCATCCCACATTCTCTGCTGAGAAGGATTTTGAGGCTGGTAGGAAGAGATCTGTGATGAACTTGGCATGTCTGTCAGGGATGGGTGGGAATGGCTATGGCCTGAACTAGGTATTTGTCATCAGGCTTTGGTTGGCTCAGAGGCCCTGCCCTGAGGATGCAGGAGAAAGGACCAGCCTCCAGGTGCTGGCTCATTAACCAACTTGCTTCCTCCCAAACCCCCTACCCCACAAGTCTCACTAAGGACCTCCAAGCAGACAGCCCAGGGCTACAGTCCAGGAACTGTAACCAACCTCAGCGGAGATAGGAGGCCCCAGCTCAGCCCCAGCCCTCCACAGGCTTTGTGCAGATTGAAAAAAAAGGAAAATAGAGAAGGGAAACCAAAGCAGGGCAGAATGCAGTGAAGGAGAAAAAGACAAGAGAAAGGGGAAGGACCCTGAGGTCAGCAAGTCATGTGAATGGCATTTGGGGAACAAAACCTGGCTCCCCTCCATCCATCATCCCCTGCTGGAGAGAAGCACTCTTCCACCAGGGTCCAGGGCACAGAGATCCAGGCCAGAAAATCCAAATCCAGAAATCTGCCCAAGCATGAGTCTGTGAGCGCCATGCAGGGCCAACAGAGGGGCCCCTTGCACAGACAGCCTCAGATCCCCAACTCTTCTCACCAGAGCCATGGCCTCCTGCTGGACATTTAAACAAAACCACGTGGTCATTCCTCCACCAAAGGAAACGTTAAATCCAATTCCCAAGATGCTTGCCATCACATCAGGGTCACCAGAGCGATGCTGCTATTGAGTTGCGTGACCTGGAGTGAGCCACCTTCCTCCCCTGCCTGGGCCTCAGGCAGATCTGGCCTGCCTGCCTGCAAAGTCATATTTGGATGGGAGGGACACTGCTGTAGCCCAGGGGTTAAGAGTCTGGGCTCTGAAGAGGCCCGGGTCTGGCTCGCCACTTACTAGCAGTGTGAGTGTTGGCAGCTACAGCTGTACACTTCTGCTTCCTCATCTGTAAGGCAAGATTTAGCAGACTGATGACAGAAAAGCAGAGGAAAACAGGCCACAA